CATATGTAGCCTATTTGTTGACCCGACCTGTTATTCAAGCAAAATTTTAAGTAAATCCATGCAGGACTTTTTGTAGTATGTCCGGGATGAACTCAAAAAGTGCTCAAACTGAGAAAGAAACAATCTAAAAACCATATTTTTGGTTCCGGTATCGACTATAGACAACGCCCAAAGAATTAATTAAAAAAAAATATTCGATGTCCTACAATTTTCACTTTCCTACGATTTTATTATAAGAAACCGGGGCTCCGGCTCGACGTGCAGGAGTAGGAACGGGGTGGTTTTTAGTCAGTAAGAGTCTGGCACTCCCTCCCGCTTCACCCAGGCGGGAGCAGTCATTCGATGATATTATATTTATATAAGTATAGATATATATAGATATAGATGTTCACCCCTGTCCACTCAGAGATTAAAATTCTGAAACTCAAATCCACATAAACTCACCTCATTAAATATCTTGGTTTAAACTGTAACAATGGTTCATCCGGTTCCATTTCCGTACCGGACCGGATAACCGTTTGACGTCCGGCTTCGATCCGATCCGACATGGCGACGATGTTATTTGTTAAGGTAGATGATTGATTTTGCTGAAGTTTTGACTTATCTATATAAATAAAAATGAATTTCTGTTCGTTAGTCTCGCTAAAACTCGAGAACGGCTGAACTGATTTGGCTAATTTTGGTCTTGATAGGTTCGTAGAAGACTAGGGAAGGTTTAAAAGGTGAGAAAAAACTTTTAGGCGGTACGAAGTTTGCCGGGCCAGCTAGTAATATATACGTTTTTATATCTCCGAAGGGGTTTTTTTTTTTTTTTTTTTTAAGGGGGGAATCTCCGAAGGGGTAGACAGAGGTGTAAACGGTACGCTGCCAAAAACGCCAACAGGCGATGGTAAAAAACAAAATTTTTTTTTAAAGTAATTGTATTTTTTCATTATTTGGTAATATTTATTTTTTTATTTGTATTTTAGTATTTTCGATTATTGATTGAGTTTAGTTAAGCCAAGAATTTCTTAATGATTTTGTTATGTTTGGACGTAACATAGATTTAGTTTTTAAGACCTAGCTATGGAGAGACTTGTGCCTTTAGCCAAACGCCACTTTAGCGCTTGTCTACAGAGAGAGTAGAAAACTAAATGTATGGGGATGACACTGACAGGTGTCAAAATTTACGTCAATTCCATATAATTTGGTTTTCTATTCTACATGTAGACAAGCGCTAAATGGCATTTGGCTACAGCTGCTGGTATGATAGTTTAAATAAGGTTTTATATAAATAAATAAGTAAATGGAAGTAAGGAATTAATTAATGTTTCTTTTACGTAACAATAGTTGTAATCAACTGCTCAAGGCTGATGTTGCATGAATAACACGAAAACAAAAACGATTAAAATTGTAAAGACAATTTCTTTTGTATGTACAATGTTACCCGTTACAAATCCCCGACTTCCTCATCCCCAGAGGGCCGGCAACTTAATTTTTTTTATGGGACAAGCCCGCCACAGCCTCCCGAAACCGCTGCAACTCTTGTAAGCCAGGATCTACAGTAGATACAACCATGCAAACACCGGAACACTGAAGTCCGGCACGTCCCAGGGACATGAGTAACTGTCTTGGTTCCCGCAACGAAGTAAATCAGAAGATATTATTAGCGGAAAAGAAGAAAAGACGATAGTTTCCACTTCCCTTGGTGAATTACTGCAGGAGACAGAATGAATTAAGCCTTTGCTTGTCGACTGGGCTTCACTTGTTTACCGAGTGACCGCAAGTGCGACTGCCGGGCAAGGGGTCTCGGGTTCGATTCCCGGGTCGGGCAAAGTTTTACTGGGTTTTTTTTAAAAAAATCGCTGTAGTAGCACAGAGTCTGGAATTGTGCCCGGTATATGGCAATAGACTCACCCATACATTACATGGGACCCAGAACATAAATAGTGAAAAGCGGGTGTTACATTGTACAGTGGCATTAAGTGCCGTAATGTGCATCTCTGCTTACCCCTTCGGGGATAAAAGGCGTGATGTTATGTTATGTTTATGTCCTACCAGAGAACAGAATATTAAAATTCGTCATAATTAGTTGCATTTCAGTTTTAGTCTAGAAAATCACGTCTTATTTTAACAAAGTGAGTCTGAACTGAGCTAGCATATCGATCTAGGCTCAAAAATAGACCGACCTGCTTCGGTCTAGGCTGAGATATTTCAAGACTAATATAAAACATAAATAAAATGATTTACACTACATAAAACAGTCGCTATCCGCCGTCTGTCTGTCCCTATGTATGCTTAGATCTTTATAACTACGCAACGGATTGTGATGCGGTTTTTTTTAATAGATAAAGTGATTTTTAAGGAAGGTTTATAGCATAATGCACTCGTGCGAAGCCGGGGCGGGTCGCTCGTTTTTTTATAAAAATGACGATCCTTTAGTATATTGCACTTTTCACTATTTATGTTATGAGTCCCATGTAATAGGGGGTGAGTCTATATTCTAAACCGGATACAATATTCAATTGGATACACAGATACATACATACATAACTTCACGCCTGTCTCCCATGGGGTAGGCAGTGACAATAAAACGTTAATTGCTACGACTCCTATTAATTCTTTCATGCATGCTCGTCGGTTAAGGGTACTTTTAATTTGGCCCTTCTTTAATGTATCGCCAATCTGGTCGATATAATAATGTCGATAATTCCAATAGAACATTTTCGAAAAATAAAAACAGCATTTTATAAATTCTCAGTAGTAGCACGGAGTCTGGAATTGTGCTCGGTATATGACAATAGACTCACCCCCTATTACATGGGACTCATAACATAAATAGTGAAAAGTGGGTGTTACATTGTACAGTGGCATTAAGTGCCGTTATGTGCACCACCCACTTTTCACTATTTACGTTATGAGTCCCATGTAATAGGGGGTGAGCCTATCGCCATATACCGGACACAATTCCAGACTCCGTGCTACTCCTGAGAACTTTTTAAAAACCCAGTAATACTTTGCCCGACCCGGGAATCGAACCTGAGACCCCTTGCCCGGCCGTCGCACTTACGACCACTCGGCCAACGAGGCAGTGTATCGTATATATATTGTATATTCATATGCATGTAGTAAAAAGCTATTATTTTAATATTACAAACTGACACTACAATTTTATTTATCTGTATACATTAGGAAAAAATAACAGCTACAAGACTAGTGCCTACATTTTGCTAACAGCTTAAAAAGTTGTTATTAAAAAACGAAAAAGGTAAAGAGTTCAGCGAAATCTAAGTTGTTCAAACTAAAAAAGTTAGTCCAAACTGGATTTTTAGTCTCGAATTCTAAACTTAGCTTTTAGCTTTACAAACTGAAATGTTTAATTAGGAAAATCGATTTCGATTCTGTCGATGCTAAAGACCAGCTTTAGTAAATTGGGAGTTTTAACTCAAAATTTTCAGTTGAAATGAAATGAAATTATATATATTTCTGTAAATCTATATCTATATCTATACTAATATTATAAAGAGGAAAGATTTGTACCTATTTTTGTATGTTTCTATGTTTGTAATGAATAGGCTCAAAAAGTACTGGGCCGATTTAAAAAATTCTTTCACCAATAGAATGCTACATTCTTCCAATTTGACATAGGCTACATTTCATTTTGAAAAAATTAGGGATCCTTGGTAAAATTTGAACAATGTAACCGAAGGTGTAGAAAAATGAGTCTTAAAATGTATTTCGTGGAATGCGCTGCCGAAACTGTTAGCGATAGAACAAAATAATGTACAACAATATTGAAGAACATCATAATGTCTACAAAATACTCCGCGGTAGCATATGTCCAACTATTGTAGTTACGTCACAACAACAATCCAAATTTCCAAAAATCAATAATTGTCTACCCCGTGCGAAGCCGGGATGGGCTGCTAGTAGGTTATAAAGTATACGTGTCAATCTTTAAATCACTTGATGAGGGCCAGTAATTCCTAACTGACTACTCTGAGAAGAAATTCTGAAACAAACTCCGAGGTCAAGTTATCTTTATGATTTTTTATGGGATTTTTTTTAAGGGGGGAAAATTATCGAATGACTGCTCCCGCCTGGGTGAGGCGGGAGGGAGTGTCAGAGTCTTACTGACTAAAAACCACCCCGTTCCTTCTCCTGCACGTCGAGCCGGAGCCCCGGTAACCCGTTAGGTTCTCCGCGACATTTTTTATGGGATAAGCCGGTAAACGACTTCGTTGCGGGAACCAAGACAGTTGCTCATGTCCCTGGGACGCGCCAGACTTCAGCGTTCCGGTGTTTGCATGGTGGTATCTACTATAGATCCTGGCTTACAGGAGTTGCAGCGGTTTTGGGAGGTTGTGGCGGACTTGACCCAGAAAAAAAAACCGGCAAACGAGCATACGGATCATCTAATGGTAAGCAATCCGCGTCCATGGACACATGGAACACTAGAGGCGTTACAAGTGCGTTACCGGCCTTTTGTCGATTAGGATAGATAGATAGATATTTTATTTATTTATTTATCTATTTATGCACAACACACAGACAGTACACAGGAGAACACATTTATAAATAA